AAAGGAATGTAAATGCATACCTAAAAAAAAAATCCCTCTCCACCCAGGTAGCCTCCCCCACTCCTAGAAAAACCCATGGACATACCTGGAATAGCTACATACACCCAAACCTGCTGCCAGACAGGCAAACAAATCCTACCACCCCCTTCCCTCCTGATTTGGGTGGGCAGGTACAGTGTATAAAAGTCCTCACGAAGTGAAACAAGGAGGGCAGACAGTAAAAGGAACATAACAGCACCTGCCCTGGAAGAAAGACTCAAGAGGAAGAGGGGCAGGCACACAGAACCTGCCTTCTAGATTCTTCCTCCTTCCTCCATCTGCCCCACTGCTGGGGGCAGGGTCACAATTCACAAGAAGGGTGTTAACATACCACTCCTTTTTGCTGGAATGCCCTTCCACCTCCTCTTGCCTCATACAGTTCAGTGTCACCTTTTGGAAGTCTTCTTGAACCCCTCCAGGCCTGTGATTTCATTATACTTTTATCTTGATCAGTGGTTCTTGAAGTGTAGAAATGCAAATTCTTGGACCTCACCCCAGAGCTACTGAATCAGAAATTCTGGGCACTGGGCCCAGCAACCTGCATTTTAACAAGCCCTCTGAGTGAGTCTGATGTTGCACTTGAATTTGAGAACCACCGATCTCAAGAACACACTATGTGTGACTGTTCACTGGTATTTTTTGTTTCCTTCCCTAGGCTGTATGCAGCTTGAGGACAGGGACTCTGTCTTATCTACTAACTCCAGGACAGTAGGACATAGAGTAGGTGCTAAATACACACTTGCTGAACAGATTATAAGGCTGTATACACACCCACATAGTTACAATTAATGACAGAGACAGAAGTTTTGATCATGAATAAGATAGCTACCCTCTTGAGGAGTACTAACAACTAAATGAAGTCCTGAGAAAGCAATGAACACGTCAAGCCTAATAGTAGCATACTCTGAATATGCACATGGAATAAATACACAGTCATAAAGAAGGCAGAGTAACAATCAGGAAGAGGTCATCTCACAAAGAGAAACACACAGAATGGGATCAACATGCCACCAGGAAAGATGCTGCTGTCATCAAATATCTGCCAACAGTGCAAAGACTAGGGGATAGATAACGTCCATAAGTAAATACAGATGATGGAGATACACAGCAGGGTTGACCCTGTGACATGCATTGACCTCATGGACACAGAATGTACACAGCCGCTGGAGAGATAATGTGTGTGAAGAGGCACAGTCCAGAAGATCAGCAAGGTAAGGCAAGGAAGAAGAGTTCTTCGGAGACTTGGAGACCCAGTTACCCTCTTCTCTAATACTTGATATTAAGTGACCTGCTCTGCAGAACAAATGTCTAAGGACTTACAAACACAATGGAAGGTCAAATTTAATGCGCATACAGCTCACAAACTTACAATAAATTTATGAAATAAATAGTATGTGTAACCAGAAGCACACACGCTACGGTTGTTACATCAGTGTATTGTGTGAAGGGGTGTGCATATGTGTGGTGTGAATTATGACTGAGAAAACACAGCAAACAGGCAGATTGGATTAGAACATGAGAGTGTAGGCTATTTGGCCAGGCCATGGGATCCCACACAGGAAGACTACTGCATATGGCAGGACCATGGGCATAACATGTTGGCCCAAACAAGGTAAGGTATATAACTTTTACATGCTGAAGTAAACATGCAAAAACATAAAATGTGCACGTCACATGAAACCATATAACAGGTGCAATATATGAAAACACACATGCAGTATTCGAACATGGAAAAACTGGACGTGAGACATGGACACAACGACTGAGAATGGGCAATTCTGATGGAAAATAACACACCATTCTCCACGGCCCATGGATAGCATAGGGACAACCTAGCTGCACACAGCCATGAAACATGTCAAAGTTAAACATGTCAAAGGCACACAGATTCAATGTAGAAAACATGGCTCCCCACAAGGCGTTTGTGTGTCAGTAAGGGTCTAGCAGTGTGGAAGGCCACTGAGAAACAAGAAGCCCTGTGCCTAGATGGAAACAGAGGTGCCTGAGGGCATTCCTAGGAAGCAAATACTGCTGGCCTTCTCCCCTCACAACCCTCAAGAGTCATGTGTGGTCAAAGGGCAGAAAAAGAAATTGGGGAAGGAGTAGGGAAATCCCTTTCCAGGATTCCCTGTCCACACCCCTAATCCCAAATTCACAAGGGTTGCCATTTCTCCTCCCTCCCGTTTGTCTTCCAACCTTCCTCCCTCTCAGGTCCCTCTCCTTTCCCCACCAACCCTCCCCCAGTCAGCCCTTATCCTTTCCCAACAACCCTCTCCCCAGTCGGCCCTCCCAGACCCAATCTCTCCCCATCCCCTCATCCTAGTCCCCTTCAGCACCCTCCTCCCTCCTCCTCCCATCCCATTCCCGCCCACACCTCAGTGGGGTGGGGGGCCTGGGGGGCTGGCCCCCTCCCCAGCCAGGCTGCGGCAGCGGTGGTGGCGGATGGCTGTGTCTCTGTCTCTGTCGGGGTGTCGGTGCCAAGGGGGCGGCGGGATTTGGGGATGTCCTAGCCCCGGCCGATGGAGGGGAGGTGGGAGTGGCGGGTTGGGCCCATAGCGGTAGGAATGGTGGGGGGTTGTCCCCCCAGCACCCTCCCTCCCTCCCTTCCTGCTGTCTCTCTGAGGGCTGGGGCTGCTGCTGCCGCTATCCCCCCACCCCTCCCCAACGCCTGCTGGCTTCCGGGGCTGGCCAGGAAGTGGGGGGCGGTGATGGGCAGCCTGTTTTGCCAATTGCCTCTCGGAGACCCAGGCATCTCCTCCCCACATCCACCAATTATCCTCTTGCTAGCTCCGCCCCAGGAGAGCTCAGCTGGGCTCTGCCTCTGTCTGTCCGTCTTTGGCTACAGCTGCATCTTTTTTATTCTCCGTCACCTTTCAGCTCTGGGTCCCTTGGTGCTATATTCTTCGGTGCTATATTCTTCCTTCAGCACATCCCTTCCCCTTGTTCTCCATTAGCTCTCTTCTTGCTGCCACTTTTATTGGTCTCTTCCTTTCTCCTTAACTCCAGTGTCGGCTGCTTATTCCTCCCAACTCTTCTCAAAGACCCCCCCTATTCCTGTTCCCCATTCAGTTCTAAATATTTATCAAGCACATACCATAAGCCAGGCACTGAGTTCACTTCTCTTGTCTCCAAGTCTCCATCTCACCCCACCTCACTCTCCAGCCCTCTGCTCTGGTCTCTTTGCCCTTTGTCTCCCGACTATCTTCTAGCTGTCCAGCTCCCTCCTCCAGCCACCCTCTCTGGCCCTTTCCCTGACCTTTTCCTTTGCATGCTCTTTTACCTTAATACCTTTTCTTTCTTAGTTCCTTCCTATCAGTGTCCTTACCAAAGCTAAGACAACCTCTCTCCCAACATAGAATCTGGGTGTATCTTTTCGTCCAAAGGAAATTGGGCATTAGGGTTATTTCCTAGAAACAGGGTGAGGAAGAACGTTGATTCTTCTGGGATAAGCATGCCTCCTTAATTTTGTAGCCATGTATCTAATTCTCTAGCGCCTGCTCTCCTCCTTCCCATACTCCCATTACTCCTTTACCAGGATCATTACTCTCTTCTTGGCCTCTACCTTTCTCTTGTCGCAATACTTTTCCTAAACCTCTTCGAGCTTCCTGAACTCTCAGTTGCCCAATCCTTCTTTATGAAACTCCCAGCCTCTCATTTTCTTACCCTTGAGTCACATGGGACCTTTTATCAGGGTGTTGCTGAACAGTCCCCAGCCTGCATCTTCACCCTGGCCCTGGACACACCTTTGCCCTGCAAGTTTCATGCCCTGGGGAAGAGGATGTAAAGAACCCTGGTAGTGGGAGGACTGTTACCTAGTTCTGTTCCTTGAGTTACAGTGAGGGTCAGTGATTGTAGGTAGGAAAGGCCCAAGCTCCTAGCGCTCCAGCCCAGGAAGAAGACCCTAGTTCTGCAGGGCAGTTACCAGAAGGAAGCGGCGAGCCTAACCCATTCCACCGCAGGTCACCTAGAAAGAGAAGTGCTTGCCCCTTCGGTACCACACAAAAGGAGTGGAGCCAGAACTTTTCTGCTTTTAAGACTTAAAGCGGAGATGAGTTGAGGTCAAGTCTGTTCTACTCTGTGTGTCACAATATAATAAAGGAGAGCCCTTTAGTTTAGTTCTGCTCTGTAAATCACCTAAAGAAGGGCGGGCTAAGTCTTCCAGTCGAGGGAGTTGGGTTAACACAAGCGCCGCAGACCGATGTTCGCACCATCCAAACGACAGGCTAACCCCAGTTTTGCTCCCTTTTTCACTAAGAGGGAGGGGCAGACCCAAGTTCTGTTCGCTACGTCACCCAAGGGGGACGGAGCCATTTTGAACCCTGCGACCCTAGTGTTTGCCCTCTTTCCCTAGCTCTTTGCCGTCTTTTCCGATGTCAGCCAATCAGGGCCCAAGGAAACGGCCCAATCAGCTGAGAAGTCAGAGCCGAAGGCCCCGGATGAAGCCGAGCCGTGGGCTCTGAACTGCGAGCCTCGCCAATCGTAGAGTAGTCACCGTGGCAACAAGATAGAGGTGAAGGGGTGGGACCAGAAAAGGTTCAACCCTTTCAGGATTGGTCCACCCCGTCCCGCCGCGTGCTGCGCAGGCGCATTCCACCTAACCACCATTTTCCGTCGAGTTCTAGCCAATGAGTTGCTTTGGAGTTTCAAAGTCCAATAGGAATCTGGACGTTCTCTGAAAGAGGAAGTGGAGGAAAGAAAAGGGCTTATGGTGGGCGAGGTCTACATGAGTCTCGAGCCAATTGCTTCTAGCCTTTGGCTATGACTGACAACTACTAAGGCGAATAAAACCTTCCCTGGTCGGGCGACAGGACCGGGTGTAGCGAGTTAATACCAATCCCTTGGCACTGCATGCTGACTCCGGCTCCATCAGCCAATAGTCATCGTTCAAGGGTAGGGTCGCGCAAATATTTTTCCGCCCCTATCCTTTGGACCAATCGTTTCTTTTGAACCCTATGTGATGGGCAGGCACAGAAGCCAATAGTGATTAGAAAACCTTAAAGCCTGACCAACGATCGTGGGCTGGAGGTGGCTTCTCGTTTGTTGGGGCGTGTGTATGTGTATTTGGGGGGACTGAGGGGTACGTGGGGGCGAAACAAGACGGGACATGGCAGCAGCGGAGGAGGAGGATGGGAGCCCCGAAAAGCCAAAGGGCGGGGCGGGCGCGACCTTCGAATGTAATATATGTTTGGAGACTGCTCGGGAAGCTGTGGTCAGTGTGTGTGGCCACCTGTACTGGTAAGATTCGGGGAGGGGGCGGAAGGCAGTGGGACTCACTTCTATACTGAGGAGGCAGGGAGCTAGGGACTATACAATCATACACATAATTGGAGGGCATACCTCTTAGGTGAGATCCGAAGAGGAGACCTACGTCTTTGCTGCTATGTGTGGGTGGGAGGGTAATCTCTGTACAGACGAGATCTGTGGAAAGAAAGGTCTTAGGAACTAGGAGCTGGGTGTGTGGTGTGTTAAGAGGAAGAGATGGAGTGGAGCGACACTGCACATCTGTATATGTGAGAACCGACCCACCTTGCCCCAGAGAAGTGAGAGTTCTTAGCTGTACAGGTGGAAACGGATGAACCACAAAGGTTAGGGGAGGCACGCACCAGTTGAGTCAGGGAGACCCAGGAAATATGGGATCACATTCATATGAGATATGGGAAGGGGGGTGTTATGACAAACCTGGGGACAAGGGCACTGTGTAAGGGCAGGCTTGAGAGGTTAAAGGATCGTGAAGATAGGGACATACTGAGTTTGAAAGTGAGAGAAATAGGAGTAATGGGGAATTGTGCTAGTAAAGGGGATTTGGTTTGGGGAGTGATGGGGCAAGAATGGGGATGGTGTGAAAGAGGAGACGTGGAAAGAGGTAGCTGAAGAGAATTGCAAACTAACTGAAAGGCAGAAAAGAGAAGAGATGAAAATTTATTGGGGGAGAGGAGAAGAGGGTTGAGTGTGTTGGGGATGGATAGAGCTTTAGGTGTTGTAAGATCAGAGAAACACGAAGGCCAAATAGAGGTTGTGGAAAATATGAAGACACACTAGATAATACCTGGGAAGAGGGATGAGATGGGATTCTGTGAAGACTGGGGTCTGTGTCTCTTTTCTGTAGCTAGTTTGACCTTTTTTTTTTCCCCTCCTATCCAGTTGGCCCTGTCTTCATCAGGTGCGTACTCAAAGGAGATGAAGAGGGAAATGGGGAGGTCTGAGGAGCTGGAATACCCTCCTGTGTACTGGAAACCACTTCATTTTTTTCTCCCCAGTGGCTGGAGACACGGCCAGAGAGGCAAGAGTGCCCAGTATGTAAAGCTGGGATCAGCAGAGAGAAGGTTGTTCCACTTTATGGTCGAGGGAGTCAGAAGCCCCAGGATCCCAGGTTAGGGACTGGAGGTGGTGCTTAGGGAAGGTTGAAGGCATCTGTTCTGGGAAGAGGGCGTGGAAGAGAAGAGAAAATTCCATGTTGATAATCTTTCTCCTCTTCCTCAGATTGAAAACTCCACCCCGCCCCCAGGGCCAGCGACCAGCTCCAGAGAGCAGAGGGGTGAGTCTTCTTGTCTATTCTTGCCCCTTTCTTGACAAACATTTGTCTGGTTCTTCTCGCTGATGTTTTCCACCTCCTTAGGGATTCCAGCCATTTGGTGACACCGGGGGCTTTCACTTCTCATTTGGTGTTGGTGCTTTTCCCTTTGGTTTTTTCACCACTGTCTTCAATACCCATGAGCCTTTCCACCGGGGTACAGGTAAGACACTTGGCTCCTACACTTGGATCCTACCAGGGAGCCCTGTCAATCCCCTTAGGCCCCTTCCACCTAGGATCATATGCTTCCGCAGCTTTCCTTTCTCCCACAGGTGTGGATCTGGGACAGGGTCACCCGGCCTCCAGCTGGCAGGATTCCCTCTTCCTGTTTCTCGCCATCTTCTTTTTTTTTTGGCTGCTCAGTATTTGAGCTGTGTCTCCTTCCTGCGCAACTCCAGCCAAGCAAGAATCAGTATTGGGGGTCCCTGCTGACCCTTCCTTACTCCTGGATGCCTCCCTAATCCCTCCATTTCTGTTGGCTAAGGCCAGCCCTGGCCACTCTCCAGGAGGGCTTGGGGAGGGGGAGTAACATCTGTGCATAGGATGGGAGAGCATTCTGCTCTGAACTGCTCGCTCAGTAGCATCATAATTCCCAACTCTGAGGGAGAAGGACAGACTGAAGACAATGTCTGTTTCTCCTCTCTCCTAATCCTTTGCTTTCCCTTAGATTTCTTGATCTAATGTTGAAAGGTAGGCAAGACGCCCTCTGACTCTCCCCCCCCTCTTGTTGATTTAATTTTTCTCTCCCCAGAGTCTAATATGGGTTTGACTCTTAAGTACTTCCTCCCCCTCACTACCTCTTTATTACAAATTCAATAAAAAAGGTGAAATGTATTGGTGGACGCTCTTCCCAAGTTCTTCCTTTCTGCCTTCTTTCCAGGACAGGATCATCTTCTCCCCAACTTGCATAGATGTTTGGTGTAGTATGAGGGTGACCCCCTCTCCTTCAGGGCTCTCAAGGGCACAGGAGGTAAAGTTGTCTTACACACACACAAACACACATGGGCAAGATATGTCAGGTGTTTACTCATCACTCTGTGAGGGGCTCTGGTTATGAAGAAAGTTTGGTGAGGTGGCCTAGAGATTGTACAGGGGAGAGCTGGTCTGGGGCCAGAACAGTTCAATGGGGAAAAAATGGGAGCTTGATGGATGGGGTCTGTCTGTGGGCCCCTCAAGGCCCTCCTGTACCGCTCTCGCCTGCCTCAGGCTCCTCTGACTGATTCAGCTCTGCACACTCCTCCTCCTCCTCCTGATTTTCTGGGACCTTCCTGAGGAAGAGGATCAGGGAGAATTCTATACATGGTTCCTAACACTACGTTGTTCCACCCCACATTCCCTACTTGCTGCCTGGAAGCCCCAGATCTGGGGTATCTGGCTCTCTCCACTCACCTCTCCTCTCCTGGACGTCGCCGCTTTCGCCACATGATGACCCCAATGATCAGGGCAACTGTCCCCAGGCCTCCCAAGATCCCCAGGGCCAGGGCTAGAGTTCCCAGCCCTGACCCTCCCACAGAGCCTGTAGGGAGATGGAGAAAACTGAAGGCACAGCACTCCCCTCTTAACCATTCTTGTTGACCATCCCCCCAGTCACATGTATTTGGGGCTCTCTTCTGTTTCTCTGACCTTATCTAACCCCTCACCTGCTGTTGGCCCCGCCTCTCCTGTTTCTGGAAGACAAAAGTTGGAGCAAGTCAGAAGGGAGGACTTCAGTTTGAGAGAGGGCTATTTAGTGGGAACCCCAGAAGAGCCTTTTCCTTTCTTTATTTCATAGGGAAGAGGGCAGAGGCTTGGCTGCTTTCTTGGCAGGACTTGGGTGGGGCAGAGGAGCCCTGGGTGTGGGTACGTGGAGGGAGGGGTGAGGTGACTCTTGGGGATAATGCCAGAATGGAGCAGGGAATTGAAGACAATATTGTCCCTCACCTCAGCCCAGGGCCCTTGGGACTGGGGAGAGGTCTCACCGATGATGCTGATGCTGACAGCAGGGCTTTCCTGGGGTCTGTGACTGGGATGAGTGGCCACACAACTGTAGATTCCCTGGTCTTGAGGTCCCACCTCAGGGAGGATCAGCACTGGGCTAGGGGGCAGAGGCAGGGGCATGCCCTGGTTGGGGGAATGGATAGGAGACGATTACAAAACTGTCTTTTTGTTTCCACATTCTCAGATACCCTTTCTCCTTAATGTCTAGCCTCCCTTCCCCTCATCACTCCATTAGCCCTCTGCTTTCCTTCCAGTTGTCAGTTACGGTTCTCTCCACCTCCCAGCCCCTCTCTCCAGGTCACTCACGTCCTTCATCCAGTGGATCTGAGGAGGAGGCTGGGCAGGAGATTCGCAGGTCATGGTTACGGTCCCACCAGGAGTCACTGCTCCACCTTCTGGCTCTACCACCAATCGGACGTCCTCCAGAGGCACAGGCTCTGGAGTTGGAAGGGGCATGAGATTGAGAGGAGTACTGTGAGTGGTCCCAGTGGCCATGGCCTGACCCCTCTTTCCCTGAAGGCCATGCTTCCAGAATGTGCTCATCTGAGCTTGAAACCCTCCCCACCTCTTTGCTCACCCCAGACACTGGGCTGGACCGGGGCTGTGTGCAAGGCCCGGCGCCGGGGGAAGCTTGGGCTGAAGCTACAAGAGAAGGTGGGGTGGGGAGCTCCTCCCCTGGCTGGGGTCACCATCAGCTCTGACTGCAGTGTGAAGAGCCCTGTCTCAGGGTGTCTCCTGGTCTCTTCCTTCACAGACACCCCTATGGTAGGGGAAGGATAAGATAAGACATCCTGAGGTGGGTGTGGGGAGTGAGATCAGGAAGAAGGCAGCTGGAGGAGGACCTTGGAACTCACCTTTCCCATCAGGTACCAGGGGTTTCCCATCCAAGTGCCAGCTTAGAGTCCCTGCAGGATAGCCTCCCTCGGACACACATGTCCCCACCTGGAGAAAGAGTGGTAACCCCATCCTTTGAAAATGAGATACCACACACCCACACCCATGCTCCCCTTCTGTTTGCAGGACCACTTTTGATATCTCCTGCTTACCACTACCTTATTGGGGACACCAGCCACGAGTTCAAAGGCAGGATCTATAATTTCTGGCTTCCCAGGAATCTCTGAAGGAGGGAAAAATCCAATCAGTCTGCAGCGTTGAAGGTTTTCACACTTCAGGTGTAGGAATGGGGGTAGTGGAAATCAGAGGTCCTTACACCAGGGCCAAGGACTCAAGGACTGGGGTTGAAAGCTTTTTCTGAGAGGAGAGCCTTGGAAAGGCCCTGGAACCCTTACGGTAGACTCGGACTCGGTAGTTGGACTTGGCCTCCTTTCCATTCCTGCTCATTGCCCGGCACCGGAAAGTCCCCTCATCGTGGATCCCAACAGCCGGAAGAAGGAGGGAGCCGTTGGGGAGGACACGAGCCACGCTATCCCAGGGGCCTCCCTGAGGGGACAATACCTTCCATGCTTCTGTCCGGCCTGTGTTCTGGGGACAGAGACGAGGGGCCTAAGCAACGGAAGTCTTTTGGGAAAGAACTGATGAGGCAGGACAATGGGGATGCACATTATCGCTGCTCTCTCCAGAAGTTGGAAGGCTGTGACAGGACCCCTGCTTACCAGTTTCCATTCCAGCTGCTGGGGTGGTTTCTTGGGAGCCCCTTTGCAGTTCAGCACCAGTGGCTCCCCAATCCGGGCTGTGATGTTTTGACTGCTTACTACTGCCCCTGGGAGACAGTACCATGGTGGAGGGGCAGGAAGAGAGCTGAGGGCTCATGAAATTAGGGCAGGATGGGCAAGGGAGCTTGCAAAATAGTGCCCAAGTTCTAGGAAAGTTCTGGGGAGATTGGGGGTTGGGGTTGCAGAGCTTTCTGTAGGGAGGGTAAGGTAGGGTAGGGTGGGGGAAGTGGCTCACCCCATAGACTGAGGACCAGCACCCAGGCTCCAACCGCTGCCCCTGCTGCCATCCTGCTTCCTTCCCAGGCTTCTGGATCTGTCTGCTCCTCTCCCTGCTGTGGCCACAGTTCTAGGTGGAGCTGGCACCCTCTCCCCTGCCCCCATCTCTCAGTCCTGTCCTGTCACAGGGAATGCTAGGAATTCATGCCTCTAAGACAAGAGTCCTTCAGGTGCTAGGAGAAACAATTATTACTCCCACCCTGGGCACTGCCAGTCTCTGGGCACACCTACTTCCCTGGGGGTGGGGCATGTACCTCCTAGGTTCTCATTCCCTCACAGTCCCCCCGTTTTCCATCTGTCCTTCAGGGTTGCTTGGTGGCCCACCGGAGGCCCATCTTGATCGAACAGAGGTTGCTAGTCAATAGGGTTCAGTCCAGGCTGTTGTCTGCAGGGGTGCAATGGGGTCTGCATAGTGAGGGCAAAGCTGGGGGCAAGCGACAAACCTGTCTGGGGTTTTGAGAGAAAAACATTTTTTTCTGGGGTTTCTCGTGTTTTTTGAAAAAAAATTCTCAACTAAACCCAGGGAAAAAAGAAATTTCTTTATTTAAAACTGGTTTTTTTTTTTTCTGTGAAACTACAAGTTTACAAGTGAGGAGAGAACTGCCCCGGCCCATGCCTCCCACCTCCCACCCATCACACTCCCAACCTGTCCCCAATCCTGCCCATATTTGTAACAGAAGGGGTTCTCCACTCTGACAGTCTTGTAAAATCCTGAGGATATCTGAGGGGACCAGATGGTAGGGTTCAAGGCTGAGAATGGGACAGCATTGATTTTACTTTCCCCCATACCTGACTTTTTGTAACCTTCCTCCTCTTTTTCCCCACCCCCTTGATTTTGGTGTGGCAAAAAAAGATACCTCATTTCTGGGGAAACTGAGGGAGGGAGATACACATATACAAGCATCCCAACCCATATTTAACATATTTGGCAATAACCCCCTCCCCATTCTTTCCCCTCCAATCTGCAAATAGTAGTTAAAAAAATTAAAGGCATGTCACAGGGGAAGGTGGCATCTTCGATTTCCTCAAAATTACTAAGTCCAGTCCTACCCAAGGGTTGTGGGAAAAGGGAAGATAGGAAGCCCCTCACTGCCTCCAAACCAAATGCAGCAGAAACCTGCCCACATAAGCAAAAAACACCTAAGTGATTTTAGGAGGCAAGGGCTTTGGTGCCCTGCAAAATTCACTTCCTGATGGTCAGGCCTGGAGCCAGGTGGGCCTCTTCACCAATTCTGTTTGTCCCCCTTTCTCTTACCAGGACCCCTTTGGCTATCACCCCTAACATGGGAGAGCAAGAAATAAAAAGCCAAGAAATCAACATATTTATAAAAAAAAACTACTTCCCCAAACTAAATTAAAAATTAAGAACCACCACCACCAAAACAAACAACAAAAACAAATAAAAAATTACAGATGGATCCCAGGGTTTCTTTTTCTTTCCTTTAAAAAAAAGTCCAACCCTAAAACCCAGTCAATAATTCCCTAAAGTAGCAGAAACTCCCTCCGAGGTAGATATCTGAGTCAGACACTCTCGTCCACCGAACGATTCTATTGGTTTAAGATGAGCTGCGTATGAGGTAATAAAGCCATCTGGAGGGGCAGGGGGTGGGGATGCACAGGGGGCGTGGCCCGTGTTCTCTGTCCAGAAGTTGTCCCCATTTTTGGCATCTCTGGTCAGGCAGGGCTGGCATCTCCGCAGATTCCAGAGCATATAAGTGGGGTAGGGAAGGGAAAGTGGGGGAGCTCAGAAAGAGAAACAGAATAGTTGTATGTGGGAGTATATATATGGGAGAGAGGGAGAGAAAAAAGAAGAAAAAGGGGTCTGAGACAGGTTTCTGGGTATGTGTTTCTGTGTGAGAGGAGGGGAGAGAAAAAAGATGGAAAAAATGGGGAGACAGACCCCACTCTCCCCTAAGGGGCCCCATTCTTCCTGCCATGTAGTCAGCTCCCCCAGCACTGAGAGAGTCTAGTTGGGGAGGCGATGACCCCATTTGCCCTTCTCCGTCTTGTGCTTCTCCTGTATCTGGGGTTTGTTCTCTGGATGCCTGCGTCCTCTTCAAGAGTCGCCTTGTGAGAGCCCCCACCCCTGTGACCCTGAGGGGCGAGATCAGTTGGAGGTGTCAGAGTGAACACTCCCTGGTCCCTCTGTTGGGGATGTCACTGAAGACGGAGTCACAGCCTCCTGCCAGCTGCCATTTGCCTGGAAAAAGAGACGGAGTATGAGAAACGGCCTAGGAAACGCTGTGTGAGCACAACACTGCCAGGGAAAAGGCCCTTCTAGCCTTTTAGAGCTGGAGAGAGGGCACTTGGTGATCTACTCACCCTCATTTCCCGAGGGCTGTACATCTGGCCTCCCCCGAGGTTATCCCCGTAGCCCCCTGGCCCCATCGAGTGTCGGAGTGATTCCACCTGCAGGCAGCAGAGGAAGGTATGACACAGTAAGGAGAAGCCTCAGAAAAAAGAGGTCTTATATCCCAAAGCAGGGGAAGCCCCTACTCAAGGAAATGGGGCACCTAACCTGGGAAGCAGAATAGGAATCTCCATTGAGCCCGGGCATCCCCAGAAACATGTCTCCGGATCCTGAGAGATTGAAAGAGCCACCAGAGCCTTGGGGGAGCAGAGAGGAAAGATGTAACAAAGTCTGTAACGGCAGACAGGAGATGAACCACAACTCTCAGAACCAAAAAGCCCCCTAAACCAGTTCTGTGGAGATGTGCTATTATACACAAGTGACACAAATTATCCACAAAACAATATTCCACTCAGAAAGAGCAGGCTGTTCCTGAGCCTCCCCTGGATACCCACTGGAAGAAAGGCAGAATTAACTTCAATGGAATGGCCTCTGTTCCCTGACATCTCCACCCTGTCTCAGCTTGGTTTCTCTCACCCCAAAAGTCCCCCCATCTGTTATGCCTAGATAGGAAGTGGGAACAAAAGCAGGAAGTGTGCAAAACAGCCAGTCGGGGTGACAGCGGGATCCACCTGCGGAGGAAGGGGGTGTCGGGGAGCTGGTGCGGCTGTGGCCCCCCTGGGTGACTGACACGGCAGTCTTGACAGCATAGATGTTTGCCTCCTCTTGGAACTTTCCAATATTTTTCTTATAGCGAATCCGCTTATTGCCAAACCAGTTGGAGACCTGTGGGTATTGGGCAGAAAGGAACATCAGGTGGAAACCTTGCCCTCTGAAGTCCCTCAATGAATAAGATCTAAAAGCATTTTCTCTTTTTCTTTCTTTTTTTTTTTTTAAGACAGGGTCTCACTATATTGCCCAGGCCTGTCTTGAGCTCCAGGGCTCAAGCAGTTCTCCCACCTCAGGCATCCAAGTAGCTGGGATTACAGGCGTGTGCCACTGTATTCTGGCTAGAATCTGAGGGCATTTTGCCTAAAAGCTCTTTCTCAGCCAGGCGCAGTGGCTCATGTCTGTAATCCCAGCATTTGGGGAGGCAGGGGCGAGAGGATTACCTGAGCTCGGGTTGGAGACCACCCTGAGCAACATGGCAAGACCTCGTCTCTACAATAAATCAAAAAATCAGCCAGGCATAGTGGCATATGCCTGTGGTTCCAGCTACTTGGAAGGCTGAGGTGGAAGGATCACTTGACCCTAGCAGATCAAGGCTGTGGTGGTTGTGAGCGTGCCACAGTACTCCAGCCTGAGCGACAGAGTGAGACTTCAACTCAAAAATCAATGACAACAACAAAAAAACCCTCCTTCTCCCTAAACCCCCATAATACCTGAGAGACGGTGATGCCGCACTTCTTGGCGAGCTCCTCCTTAGCCTCCTCACTAGGATATGGGTTACTCAGATGGGAGTAGAAATATTCATTTAGGACCTCAGTGGCCTGTTTGCTAAAGTTACGGCGCTTTCGTCTACAGAGGAGGGAGAAGTGTGGTGAGGAGGATATTGGTGTCCTGGCAGGGCTGCCATGCCACACAACTCCAGAGAGTATCATTGTCACAGAGTACCATGTTGTGCAACAAGGCAACCCAGGGTCTTGGACAGGAATGGGAAGGTCCCTGGGCCCCACCTGGCATCCAGGAAACGGGAACGCAGGATCATGACGGCCTCGCAGGTGCTCTGCTTGAGCTGCATCTGGATGGCGCTGAACTTTCGATGGATGATGCTCACCATGCGCTCCATCTCTTTGGGTGCCACAGGCCTTGTGCGGCTCTGCTCCCTCAGCAGGTTCATGACATGGGTTGTGAACTCATTGCATGCCTGTAGTGTAGGCCAGTGGGCTAGTGAGGAAGAGCCCTTTGGTCTTGGGACTCCCTCCCAAGAACCCTTCCCTATATCCGCCCCAGCCTTCTCGCCTCACCTGCTCATACTTCTCCAGCTCCGAGTGGTAGATGTGGCGGATCTGGGCAAGTTTGCTACGATAGTCCGAGTGTTCGATGGAGTTGTCAGGGGACACGCCGCCCCCGGAGGCTGCAGCAGCTGCAGCGGCTGCTGCTGAGCCCCCCCCTTTCTCAGGCCCAGCCACACCCTCTGCCAGAAGCATGTTGTCCAAGCGCATCAGCTGTGGGTCCACCGGCTCCTCCTCTTGGGAGCTTCGAATGCTGAGGCCTAGCATGCAAGCGAGTGGACTTAGGGACCCCACCCCCCAGCGCTCAATCCTCCTGGTGCCTCCTGGTGCCTCCTGGAGGCCCAAGTCCCCAGGCTTTGGTTTCTTCCCCAGTCCCCCCTTAGCAACTTCCCGGGCTCCTCACTTTCCTCAGAACCCCCAAGTTGTCAAACTCTCAGCCCTATAGTGAACAGGATTCTGAGCCCAGAGTTAAGGAACCAAAGGGGAATCCACATACCGGTTTTCTCCTTGATTTCACACAGGACGCTAAAGAGAGCAGGCTTCATTCGGTGGCAGTTTAGGGCGTGTTTCCTTGGGGGAAGTGGGAGTAGGGAAAGAGAAAAGTTGAAGAGCTAGGGAAACAGAGGAGGGTTCTGAGAGGGTTCAAGATGGGAGCCTGGGAACAAGGAGGGTAAATCTGTGGAGGAAGCAGGTTGGTGGGTGGAATGGAGCTGGGGAGGGGGCTCCTCAGGAAAACAGAAGGAAGATGCAGGTAGCAGGCTAACGGTGCCATGGGTGTGCTGGGGGCTTTGGGAGATGGTCTAGGAAGGTATGAGGGATTTGGGGGTGACTGGAGAAATGAGGGTGACTAGGTAGATTTCTGAGGAAGAGAGATGGAGGTTGGGGTGGAGAAGAGTCAGTTTGAGGTGGCAGAGATGGGTGGGGGTGCAAAGCTGAGTGGGGAGTTCAGAACAGTGTGTGTGAAGGGGTCTTGGGGCTGAGCAAGTGGGAGGCTTTGGTGCATCCAGTGTCTGGCTGAGCAGGGGAGGGGTGGGTGAAGACCTCTGGAGGTTCGGCCCAGGCAGACAGGAATGTTAGGAGCTTTGGGAGGGGTGTGGAGGTCCCCAGGCCTGGAGAGACTGGGGGTGGGCTGGGCAGAGAGTTAAGAGAGAAGACATCATAGCCCAAGAACAGTTTCTTAGTCTGGGAGCCAGAAGGGAGCTCCGGTGATGGGGCTGTTCCAGGGGCGTCTGGGGTCAGCAAAAGGTTAGGAGGGGGAGTGGGGCCACCTAGGGTTCCCTCTGTTAGCATTTTAGGGCCTGGGGAAAAGGGAGGTTTGAGAGGGATCACTTTTCTAGGGGCTCCCAGGAGTAAGCAGAGAAGCGATTGGATCCTGGAAAGGACTCTGGAGTTGGGGGAGGGGGCTCCCAGAAGATTCAAAGCTTGTGAACGGGGTTTTCTGGGTCTGTGTGGGGTCCCGGGGTGGGGGCACTCACTTGGCCTGGGCCTCGTCCAGGCTCTGGTCGGTGATGGTCATTATCTGCTGCAGAATGTCCCCGATGTCTTGCTTCCCTCGGCCTCCCGGGACCCCCCCGCTACCCCCACCGGGGTCTCCGCCA